CTGCACTCATCGTCTCTTCTCTTTTCTTTTTCTTTCTCTCTCTCGACGTCGCCTTAGTTCGCCTCAACCGGCGGTCTACGGCGAGTGCAGGCGGTATCGCCATCCTCTCGACGTCGCCCTAGCGTGCCTCGAACGGCAGTCTAGGGCGAGTACAGGCGGTATCGCCATCGGACCTCAACCCAGCTCGCACACACTGAAGGTCCCCCCTGCCGCTCCGTTCATCGGGTAGCCGCGGCAGTCTCAAGCCTCAGGTTCTTTTTCTTTCTCTTTTCGTCTTTCTTTTCATCATATCGTACCCGGCTTCGCCCTGCCGACCCATCTGAGACGCTCTCGATGGTCGTGCAGGGCTCAGGCCCACGTTAGTACACGTGGGCTCTATGACCCGTACGACCTTTCACGCCTTCTTATTTCTTTTCGAGATCTCGCCCAGGTGCGGTTCCGGATTTTGAGACCACCGTACGAAATAGGTGTCTCAAAATCAGGTTCTGGCTATGCTTACTATATTAGGCCATATAGCCGGAAGATCCCGTATAGTCGCGAGTTCTCATATAGCCAGCATCGCAAGGTATGTAATACGTGTTTGCTATATAGTTTCTATAGTTGTCTACTACGCACCTGTAGTATCTGTATACTTCTGTAGATTCACATGTATACTTGTTCTTTTCACACCAGCTCACATTTGTATGCCTTTCTCACTCAACTTGCCAGTTCACAGATGAAAACCAAAATTAATACATATAAACACATAATCTACGTACAATATTGTCTCACTCATGTAAATACATTAGAGAGAAGAAAGAGATAGATAAAAAAGATAGAGAGAGAAGAAAAGAAAATACAGGAGAGAAAGAGAGAGAGAGGGAATGAGGAAGGGCAAAAAAGCGGGGGTGAAGAAGTGAGGGTGATGAAGTAAGGCAGGGAAAGTGAAAGGGAGGATGAGAGAAAGATTGGAGAAGAAAAAGAGAGACAGAGAGGGAGATAGGAGAGGGAAAAACAGCGGTAGAGTATGGGTGAGAACTCTGTGCCAGTCTATGGCATGAGTTCCCATGCTCCTAAAGTGAGAAGAAACAAGTCAGTGTCAAGTTGATTGAGACAGTATGAGAAGGAGGAATGAAAGTAAAGAAAGTATAATGAAAGGGGAGATGTGAGAAAATAAGGATAAGAGAAAAGACAAGAGAGTGGAGGGATTGTGAGGGTCTGAGGGGAAAATGGATAGGGAAAAAAGCGAAAAAAATGCAAAAAACTCACCATTTTGATCAATAGTTTCCAGTTGTATTACTGTGTACACAGGGTCAGAGGGTGTGTGAGAGTGAAAGAAAGAGACAGAGAAATATGAGGGAGGAGGTATGAGGAAAGGATTACTAGGGCTTCAAAAAGGCCAAAAAAGCGAAATTTTAACAGAACATGAAGCATGCTAGACTGAGAGAATGATTGAGAAGAGAAGAGGGAAGAAGGGAAGAAGAAAGGGAGAAGGGCATGAGAGAAGTAGGGATGAGAGAGGGATGGTGAAGGGAGACAAAGTATAAAAAAGGTCAAAAACACGAAAAATACACACCTTAGATTGGCCAAATGCTAGTCCATGCTCTTCTCAAAGCAGCTACATCCAGTAGAACAATATAACAAGAAGAGAAAAGAAACAGAAGAAAAGGAATGAGCTGAAGAGACACACCAGAGTTCCAGTCCAGTCTAAAAAGGTCTAAAAAGTCGAAATTCTTCAGATATTTTAGTGAAAATCTGTCTTCAGATAATAGGAAAGAGCCCAAATAAGGGGAGAAAAGATAAAGAGAAGCAAGAGAGAGAAACTGAAGCTTGAGCTGAGGGCGATGGTAAGGAGAAGAGGAAGAGGAAGGGTGGTGGAAGAGACGAAGAAAGAGCTGGCAAGTGACCTGCCAAAAGTCAACAGGAGCCAAACAAGGGCCAAACAAGGAATGTGGCACCAGTGTGGCAAACACTTTTTTGACCATTTTAATGTCTATTTCATAGCTCTTTATTTACAACATGTTCAGATATTCTTTTTATTGCATATATACAAGCTCAACAGTGGGCAAAAAAAGTGTCACCCATGAAAATGAGAGTGTGAGAATGTGTGCCAGGTCATGGCAAGGGTTCCCACGCTCTACAGACAAAGTCCCAATGCAGCGCTCACATGGGTGATAGGCCTGCTTAGAATGGGATATATAAATGGGTGTAGCTAGTGTAGACAATCCTCAGTAGTGCAGGGGCAGCAGCACGCTGGTCAAGCCATTTTAATTTGGACAGGTCGCGAGTTCAACTCTCGACATGTGCAAATTTCAATGGATGGCCAACTGACTCTGCAGCTCCTTTACTATAGTATCTACTAGAGCTACTGTGTACTACAGATGGCTACAAATGCTTTCAGCAATTCTTAGAATTGACTAAGGATTGTCTGTTCGGTTTGTACAGTCTGTATAATAGTCATACTGGGCTTTCAAAGGTCCAGATTGCTACAGTAGCTCTGGTAGTTCCCTATGTAGCTATGTAGCTGAAACCAAATTTGCTGATGTGATGTAAATGCAAATGGCATGTTCAGACGGGACTGGGAAGAGGCAAGGGTGGCGTGGCAGTAATTTGATCTACAAGCTTAAGGTGAGCTCTCCTAACTGGGCTGTACTTATTCATTCCTCCCGTTTGCAGGCCACACTGGTCATCTTTGACCACGTTGTACTGTACCAGTGAGATGTCTATGGCTTGACATGGGCCCTTGTGGCCATATCTAGATATGTGTATAAAGAGCTATGTATTAGAAAAAAGCCAGCTCAGTGTCCGTTGGAAATGTATCGCCATGTATTGTAAGCAGATCTAGAGCCCCCTTGTGCCTCATACAGGGCTTCTCATGTACCCGTATTTTTCACCGGTCAGACCTCAACAGGCAAAGCATATATGGCCATGAATACTGTACTTTTTCGACCAAAGGTTCATCAAAAATGTACGTCACCCATCAGTTTTGCCCGGGTCACGGGTTCAGAAACTGTGTGTGAGCGTGACGGGACCCGCAAATGGTTCAGAAAACAACGTAGGTGCTTGCAAAAATGATCATTTTGCGCAAGCGGCTGCCGAGGTCACTGTTCGCTCACCATGTGTTATGCGTGAGGTCACGCAGGATTTTGTTCGGTTTGTCAGCTCGGAGAACACGTGACGAACCTTTGGTCGAAAAAGTACAGTAGCTCGCATTCTAATTAGTAGTTTCCCTGATATCACCAGATGATGTAGCCTCTTTATAAAGAGTCCCTATAGTAAGACTGGGACTCTATACAGAGAGCCCATCATCTTACTGGCCCATGCTAATAAGGGCTCTTTATTAAAGAGCAGTGGTGCTGGTGGGTATTCTGGCTGGAAAAATGGGCGAAAAAATAGGCAAAAAAATGCGTGAAAAAATGGGTGGGTAGGTATGGGGTGTGGCCCCGGGGTAGGGGGTGGTTTGGGGATGGGTAGGGGATGGGGTAGGGGGTAGGATAGGGTAGGAAAATGGGGGGTAATTGTGCAGTAGGGCTAGGATAGCTGGATGCAGGGTATGGGGAGGATGTATGGGGCTAGGTATGGGCTCTGGAGCTAGGGTAGATACATAGAGGAATAGGGATAGAATGATGGGCGATAAAAATACGGAAAAATACGGAAAAATACGGAAATAATAGTAGGAATGCTAGGATTGGTATATCAGGTACTGTGGGGGTGGATTGGTAGGGGAAATGGGGTGATCT